TTCAGACCCCAAATAATGCAGAAACATAAGTTATCACATTCATCTAATTTTTGCTACCGATCCGCTAGCTGCCCTTCCCATAAGCATGCCGTCTAAACCCAGCCCGTTCTCATCCCAAAGCGTCATATACAACGCTTTTGCCAAAGCGTAGACATCCAACGCACATGGCACCGTTTAGCGTCAATATGAGACGCAGATATATATGGGGCAGAAGGCGCCTCCTAGTGGTCTAACCCTAACCCTACCCCAGACCTAAACCTACCTAAAACCGAAGCATGTTATATTGACGCTAAACGGTGCCATGTGCGTTGAATGTCTACGCTTTGGCAAAAGTGGCATTGGGATGAGATGAGAATGCGTTGAAAAACCGTGTGTCTCCGTAGGCTGCCTAGATCTGAGATCTGCGCACAAAAACAATGGGTTCACCAACCACTAAAACTTAAATAAACCGTGTTCCAAGTTACCAATCTCCGACGGGGTGGGTGTTGTGTGGTTTTGCTCTCGTGCATGGCTGCACGCTAACACTAACCCTAACCCTTCATAGGCCCTACCTATTATGAAACGTCGCGTCTGTCGCAACTCCACTGAAATCTCCATGATAAGCAAGCGTTCACACAATATACCGTAAGTGTATTATATATGAGAAATATCGATTTTGTATAAAACTACCACTCCATTGATGTGAACTTAGCTATACATGCCATTTATGTCAGAGGGTGCTATTTCAGGCCCTGTAGAGATTTAGTGAAATGCCCAAACTTTTTTATTTTGCTACTTCGGCATTTTGAATTTACACATTTATAATATTTGTGTTATTGCTACTATTTGTGTTATTGACCTTAGAGTAATTAAAAAAAAGGCTTAAGATTATTGTGGGAGTATTTTTGTCTTTTTCAAAATACTAATTACTTTTTCACATCAGTATTTTGTATTTTATTTAAATAGATTTCATGAGCCAGTATTTGTATTTTGTAACAAAATAGTTTTTGATGTATTTGTGCCCACCTCTGTCGTCATACCCTTGTGTGTAAACTAAATCTAGAAATACAGTGAAAATGAAAATTAAATAAAGTGTTGAATGCGGGCTTGCAGCATTAAATGTATATCTGCTTATGTTGCATCATATTTTGTATGCGTTTTACAGCATTTTCGCACACTATAACCAATCACACACGATTTGTTGAGATGTAATGGCCAATCAGAGGCATTAAGACAATCGCTGAAACACCGGAGTTTTGTTCTGTGTGCGAGCTGAACTCTGAATTATGACTATGTATACTTACATCATAAACCGATAAACAGATTTGGCGATTGTGCTCTTGAGAGCGTTGATCAATATAGCCAATCACAAACATATCTGATGATTTCTTGAATACAATGGTCAATCAGACGTGTTTAAGTTCCCTCAACATTTGAAACGCCAGAGTTTTTGTCCAGTGCTGAGATCTGCACACTCAAATTCTCAAAATTTAACAAAAAAGTGTAGACATTATGTAGGCTAAATAAGATTCATTGTAGCTACAGTCAGCTTAATCGATTAGCAGAACTTTGTGTTCTGGGGAGTGATAGCTTAGTGATTAGCGCTTTTATGCAAGCTTAGGTGATATATAATCCATTCAGAATTTGAAGAAAACAAATGTTTTGCTGCATTAGGTAAGGGTAAGGCAATGGTTAGGCTATTTAAAATTCAAACTGGCTGCCATGCCAAATCATGCATATGCTTGCTTGTTCAAAATATAGGGGTTTGTCAACCCGATCTCACGACCAAGTCGTACGAATTCGACGAATGATTAAAAAGTGGCTAATTCGTAACAATTCATACGACCTCACTCGTACGAATTAATACGATTTTGCTAAATCGTACATATTTTACGAATTGGCCAATTCGTATGAATTCGTACGAATGACCTACCCCTGACCCCGCCCCTAAACCAAACCATCACGTGGGTTTAGACAAATCGTACGAATTAGTACGAGTGAGGTCGTACGAATTAGACACTTTTTAATCATGCGTCGAATTCGTACGAATTGGTCGTGAGATAGTGTTGGGTTTGTGAATATAACCACTTTAATAACAAGAACATTTATGCTGGGATGTGTAGGTTGTAGTTAGGTGACACCTAACTGTTTCATGACATTCTATTCAAATGCGGTTTTAAGGAGGAATCTCATCTAGCCTTTTTACCAGTGACATTCATCTGACCTCCTTTTCTCTTTTGTATTGGCTCTCTTCCCTCTCTTTCTGCATCTAGCCTAGAGTTGCTTCTCCTCCATAATAATCAGGATCGTGGATGAAAGGGCAAACATTCCCACAGAAATCTTGTGGAAAGCCATCCCAGAAGAGTGGAAGCTGTTATAGCTGCAAAGGGGGACCAGTAGGTGTAATGGTCAGGTGTTCCAATACTTTTGTCCATATAGTGTGTGTGCATTTTTGTGCTGTTCAGATTAAACTATTTCATATATTTACATATTGTTCCAAAGGTTGGTTATGTTGTTTCCTTCATGATCAATGAAATTAATGTTTCTATGTCTGAAGAGCAAGACTAAATATGATTTTTTTAATCTAATTCTTCAACTGTAATTAAAGGGTTAGTTCACCCAAAAATGTCAATTCTGTAAGTATTTACTCATCCTCATGTTGTTCCGAACCCGTAAGACCATCTTAAGATTGTCCATCTTCGCAATACAAATTAAAGTAACACCAGGGAACTTTTCAACCTTCATAATATATTTCCAAGTCTCTTGTGATGGTACATCGACTTACAATAGGTTGAATGACACGTCTGCCATAGCCTGATGGGGTCTGTAGCGTTTTTAATCGTACTTTTAAACTTAGGGTTTCGGGTAGTAACCGGCAAACAAAGAGAACTACTAAATTTGACTGCTTTACGGCATATACGTCACTTCCACCACCACCCCACTTTCTTAAAATCGGATGTGCGAGCCAAATGTTATAGTCATGGCCGAAGCAGCACAGAAAAACAAGAAAGCAAAGGTTTTATCAGAGCAAAGCAAAAAGACAAAAAGAGAAAGTGATCGCGTTAAAGGCAAAAGGAGGATCAACATTGGGCCAGCGTTTTCTCGCTGGCGTGAGCTGAAGGAGGAGGAGGGGGGCCGACCAATGCGGACTTGGCTGTCATGCTTTTGGACTAGTAAGTATATTGCTTGCATACTATCTCTTTTTTTTTTTTTTGTCTGCCTGACTATGTTACGGAAGCTATATTATCCTCCGTTTATCTTCATGAATCAAGTAATGATAGTAGAGTAGCAAATTATCAATCTGGTAGCTAGTAAATGATATTCTAGTTTTTGATGGTTAGCTATCGTCTAAACGGTGTGTACAAGTTTGGTAGGGGCTACTTTCTTGCAATATATAAGATGTACAAAATCATATTTTAGGATACATAACATGTCTGTGATATTTGATTATTTTCTTGCCACAAGCTGTAATGCAAATCGAACATCACTCAAACATCACATTGAAGTATCATATAGATTCAGTAAAACGGTAACCAATAGACTAGGCTACTATAATGACGCTGGCTTGTAAACGTCTCACGATCATTTGTCGTTAGAGAAAAAATAAAACCCATGAAATTATATTCATATGACATGCTGAAATATATACCTCTGTACCTGGGATGAAGACATTTCACACGCGACGCAAGCTGAACACCTGCATGTGACCTCCTCTTACAGTGTTCAGGGCTATCATGGTTGTCAACAAATGCACGTGCATGTAGGATGACAGAGTTTACGACAGTATAGAGGACAATACTGTTTCCCAACTGTAGGGGTACCCTGAGAGCAAAAGTTCCCTGGTGTTACTTTAAGATATTTTGATGAAATCCAAGAGTTTTAGTAGTAAACAGTGCAGCGCTTCCAGGTTTTACTTCAGGATGTTAGTTCATTATTTTAGAGCAGATAGTGTTGAATAAAGTTGTTATCTTTGGGGGGTTTTGTCACACAAAAAGTATTCTCGTCGCTTCATAACATTAAAGGAGAACTCCGGCGAACAATGAACCTTTGCTCTAATAAAACATCGATACACAGTCAACCGTTCTCTGAGATTTGTTTTCATGATAATCGAATGTAAAGAGTTTTATCTCTAAAAACTGTTTAGCGTATAATGCTAGTAATGGGGGCATTGACTTAGTAAAGAGAAATCGCTAGTTTATACCACTAACAAAAGGCTCAAAATAGCCCCACACTCACACAGTAACACAATGAGGCTCCATACATACAAAACGAAGCATTGAGAACTTTGTAAGTGTACAGACCGTTTAATAAGAAGATACTTTATGAAGACAGTTCACTTCGCGTATACAGACAGGAGCCATCTTAAAAAATAGTCTCGATAAGTCAAACCACGAACGTCGTGCTGAGTGATCTGAACTGTATGAAGTTCAGCGAACTTCTGAACTGTATGAGCGGCGTTCGGGGATCGACTTATCGAGACTATTTTTTAAGATGGCTCCTGTCTGTATACGTGAAGTGAACTTTCTTCATAAAGTATCTTCTTATTAAACGGTCTGTACACTTACAAAGTTCTCAATGCTTCGTTTTGCATGCATGGAGCCTCATTATGTTACTGCGTTAGTGCGGGGCTATTTTGAGCCTTGTTAGTGGTATTTTCTCCTTTAAGGTTGAACCACTGTAGTCACATGGACTATTTTAACGATGTCAATGGAGGGATAGAAAGCTCTCAGATTTCATCAAAATTATCTTAATAAAGGTCTTACGGGTTTGGAACGACATGAGGGTAATTACTGACAGAATTTTTATTTTTGGTTGAACAAACTCTTTCAATTGTACTGACTGATAATTTTACTTGTTTTAATTTTTGGTTGAAAAATTTAATGACTATTTTTCTAAAACATATAAAATATAGTTATAATAATACAAGAGAAAGAGTATACAAATATTTGACTGGTAGTGCACAGCAGAGACCCTTTTTAACTAAACCGATATTTACATGTAAGACATAAAGCTGGACTCACAGGGTGTTTGACTGGTGAAGAAAAGGAAAGAAACTCCTGGTTTGACTGTCCATTTTCCCTGTCCGGCTCCTGGACAGAAGACATCAGAGCTCTGGCCACTCACAGCCCTGTGCAGCTGCTCCGTCAGATACCTGAGGACAGAAACATCAGTGCGACCGAGCAAACACTAGTGCACAGATTCAGTTACTGTTATTACTTTATTACTCGTCCCAACAGTGTGACCAAGAAGCACATTCTTTTTGAAAAATTTTATTTCTTGTACTCAATTTCTCTGTATATGTCACAGTGTCGGGTGTATGTTTCCCGGTGTCTACTAGAGGAACTACATTCCCCACAATCCTTGTCTGTGGTCATCACTGCACTCAGTTGTTCCCCATCATGATTGTCATGTTCTGTGTGCATAACACCCTGCCTGTTTAGTGTTTGTTACGGAGTCCTTGTTATGTCACACGACTTCGTAAGTTTTGCCTAGTCATTTGCCTGTTCTTTGGATTTTTTTTTTGGATTTTGGGTTCTGTCTTGGATTGCCTTTTGGATTTTGACCCTTGCCTGAACTGTTTTATGAGTAGAGATTCCCCTATTAAATTTACCTGCTATTGGATCTTCTGTTTCCATTGTGTAGTTGCGTGACATGATATCAGGATATTGATTTTTGGAGCAAGAAAAATAAAATCCACAGAATCCTCTTCATATCTCATAAACTTTAAGGTTAGGGATTTTTTATATATATATATAGTTTTCTTGTATTAGGAATGTTTAGATGTTCAGGGAAAACAATAAGGATTGGTTAAGAGGGATTTGTTGCACCGTAAAAAAAAACATCAAAAGTATTGCATAAAGTAAAAAAAAAAAAATTAATCTATATTTGGACATAGCAGTTCTAATGGGCTTCCATTACAACACACATGAACTTCAGTCATCTAGAACACAGGTTACAGGACACAGCATCCGCTTGACGCATGCAAAACCATGTACAAATATAGAAAGGTAAACGCATAAATCCATCAAATATGCCCATAAGTTATGTTGACAGTGTGTGTGTAACTGTGAAGGTCTGTGATATAAGAAGCAGCTGGGTTTTTGTTTGTGAATTCATCAAAAATGCAAAGAAGTTCTGGTAACGCTTTACAATAAGGTTCATTAACTTTAGTAAACTACATTAGTTAGCTTGAACTAACAATGAACTGCACTTATACAGCATTTATTAATCTTTTTCATTTACTAATACTTTATTAAAATCGTGTTAATATTAGTTAATGCACTGTGAAGTAATTTTTTTTTTAAAATGAACAGCTGTATTTGTATTAATTAAACTTAACAAAGATTAACAAAAACAGTAACAAATGTATTGCCCATGGTTAGTTCATGTTAATCATGAGTTACCTGACACACCCCCTTCGAGCAATAACCTCGGCATGACTGTCATTCAGAATATCACCTGCAAATCATAACAATACAAAATATATGAGATTGCGAATAGGTTAGGTTAGTATTTGACAAATTGTTTAAATATTTTATATTTACCCTCCATACTCATGGCAGACTGGCCGATGCATTTGGTGCCCGTCCCCAAAGACACAACCTGCTTGTGAACTGGGATTAAATGGTTAAAAGGGCGTTTTGAAGTTTTCACATCATTGTTTATGAGATGAGCATTAGCTGAGCAGTCTTGCTAACCTGTCTTTTGGTCTGAGCTGTCAGTCAGAAGAATGACAGCAGCCAGTAGAGTCCACTCTCTGCCCTCCTCTGGCTTTCCTCTCTTAGGCAGTTTATTAAAGTGATTATAACACAAACTGGCTATTTCATCAGGACTCCACATGATCTGATGGTATACATGAACAGTGGAAATCCATTATGAGCTTAGCATGTGATTTTACAACATTACTGTTAACGCAGTATTCGTGTACTCACACTTAAATGCCTGGTTAACACATGCGAGTTACGGATGCAAATATAAATTCAGTAGTAAGTCATAAAAGTGTTCTTCATGTGCTTGCTCGTGTCTTGGGAGAAGTCTTGCAAAGGTTTTGCACCAACAGCAAAAGAAGAATAGCAACGATTTCAAAATAAGAGTCTCCACATTCGCCCGATAGAGGGCGCTTTAATACAAGACCGGGTCCATTCGATAGACAACTGTCAGACTTCTAAATATTAATTCATTGTTTTATTTTTAAATAAATTATATAAACGTGTTTTGTTGCATTAATTATGCCTTTTGTGTCATTTAACTTAACTTATAATGCATTGGATGAATAACTGTATAAGCACATTACAATACTCACATATTAATCATCACACCTTTAGAAAATATAAGTATAATGAAATAAAACAGACAAACAACCAATTTCAGGTGCAAGAAATCTGCTAAAATTATAATGCATTTTAACTTTTACAATTATTTATGAAAGTATAATTATAACGTATATTATGAATATAATGCATTATACAAAGAGTTTAAGTAGCATATTTTAATGTTTTTTTCACAACTATTATAAATTTTTAGATGAGTAATGGCTATTACATCAAAAAAATATATTACGTTATAGATCTTTATCTAACCTAAAAGACACGACTGAAGTAAAAACTTAAATGACCTTTTTTTTATTTAGTTTTATTTTATTTTACAATACAGTTCTGTAGTTAATATTTGATGCCAAATAAGCAACACTGATTGATGCTGCTGAGAGCTGTACTGACTGAACAGATGTCTCAAGCCTTCATACAGCTCAACTACACTGGTCCTTATATCATACTTCAAACATTTGATCAGTCATTTTCATGACGACAGCTGTTTGTGTTTACAGAATGAAGAATTTTTCTGTATAAAAATTCAATTTCAAACTGATGCTCCAAAGAGGAAGCTTCTGCCGCTCAGTGTTTCCGCCGCTCAGTGTTTCTGCCGCTCAGTGTTTCTGCCTCTCAGTGGATTTTCTGCCGCAGTGTTTCTGCCGCTCAGTGTTTCTGCCACTCAGTGTTTCCGCCGCTCAGTGTTTCCGCCGCTCAGTGTTTCCGCCGCTCAGTGTTTCCGCCGCTCAGTGTTTCCGCCGCTCAGTGTTTCCGCCGCTCAGTGTTTCCGCCGCTCAGTGTTTCCGCCGCTCAGTGTTTCTGCCGCTCAGTGTTTCCGCTTCTCAGTGTTTCTGCCGCTCAGTGTTTCTGCCGCTCAGTGTTTCTGCCGCTCAGTGTTTCCGCCGCTCAGTGTTTCCGCCGCTCAGTGTTTCCGCCGCTCAGTGTTTCCGCCGCTCAGTGTTTCTGCTTCTCAGTGTTTCTGCCGCTCAGTGTTTCCGCCGCTCAGTGTTTCCGCCGCTCAGTGTTTCTGCCGCTCAGTGTTTCTGCTTCTCAGTGTTTCTGCCGCTCAGTGTTTCCGCCGCTCAGTGTTTCCGCCGCTCAGTGTTTCCGCCGCTCAGTGTTTCTGCTTCTCAGTGTTTCTGCCGCTCAGTGTTTCTGCCGCTCAGTGTTTCTGCCACTCAGTGTTTCTGCCACTCAGTGTTTCTGCTTCTCAGTGTTTCCGCCGCTCAGTGTTTCTGCCGCTCAGTGTTTCCGCCGCTCAGTGTTTCCGCCGCTCAGTGTTTCTGCCGCTCAGTGTTTCCGCCGCTCAGTGTTTCCGCCGCTCAGTGTTTCTGCTTCTCAGTGTTTCTGCCGCTCAGTGTTTCTGCCGCTCAGTGTTTCTGCCGCTCAGTGTTTCTGCCGCTCAGTGTTTCTGTCACTCAGTGTTTCTGCTTCTCAGTGTTTCCGACACTCAGTGTTTCTGCTTCTCAGTGTTTCTGCCGCTCAGTGTTTCTGCTGCTCAGTGTTTCTGTCACTCAGTGTTTCTGCTTCTCAGTGTTTCCGACACTCAGTGTTTCTGCTGCTCAGTGTTTCCGCCGCTCAGTGTTTCCGCTGTTCAATGTTTCGGCCTCTCAGCAGTGTTTCTGTCACTCAGTGTTTCCGCCGCTCAGTGTTTCTGCTGTCACTCAGTGTTTCTGTCACTCAGTGTTTCCGCCGCTCAGTGTTTCTGCTGTCACTCAGTGTTTCTGCCTCTCAGTAGTGTTTCTGCCTCTCAGTAGTGTTTCGGCCTCTCAGCAGTGTTTCCGCTGTTCAATGTTTCTGTCTCTCAGTAGTGTTTCTGCTGTTCAGTGTTTCTGCCTCAGTAGTGTTTCCGCCGCTCAGTGTTTCTGCCTCTCAGTAGTGTTTCTGCCTGTGTTTCTACACTGAGGTTTGGTCGTTTCTTCTCCGTATGCGATTTACATTGGTTTTGCTGATTCACAGAAGATGCCATTGTTGTAATGTTATCTATAGTCACGGGACAATTTTGAGTGTCATTGAAGCATTATTTTGCTTCTCTTTATTCTTGCATTGGTGTGTTTGTTTCTCAGAAATCACTTACTGCACCTTTAAAATGCTTGAGATGGATGGCAGTATTGGGGACAGCCATTCTTTGTTATAAAAGTGCACAAATGCCAAATTTGATGCATGCTTTTTTTAAATATAGTTATTTAATTATAATACATGTTTTGTTCCAAAATGAGACTCATTGACCTACTGGTGGTCCTGCAGAAAAGCAAACCTTAAGATGTTCATCTGGAAGAGTTTGGTTTCTTTACCTACTATAATATGTCACAGAGTAAAAAAAGATTTTTCTGTCACAATCCAAAATGTTTTCACAGTCCATAACTGGATTTTATTTCAACTATGTACAGTGTAGCATGGCATGTCACAAAATAATGAAATCATATCTGATCAATCTTTTTTAAAACAATTATTTTCTCAATCATCTCAATGATCGTCTAGCTAGCCCATATACACTGATCTGACACATGAGCTCCAGCTATGTGGTTCATGACATTTGCTGCGGTTTATTGTATTATTAGTAGTAATATTTCTTTGTTGAATGCTGCATTATAATGAGGGGCTTGAGAATTTCACCTCACACAGAAAATCAGGACTGATCACATTTTGATTTAGGCAATTCAAGGAATTCATTTTAAAAATCTTGATAATGAAATAATGCAGTGATCTATGTCATAATTTGCACTGCTTTCTCTGCATAGAAATGTAAGGTGAAGTAATCATTCCCAGAAGAGGCCAAATGAAATATTACATTCAGACGAATCATGTATCTGCTGCTGGTCCATCAGTGCTTCTGCTCTGCTGTTTAAAGTGATGGTTACATCCAAAAATGAAACTCATTGTTATTCTCATCCTCATGTCATCACCAGCATTGCTGTTATCTGAAGTTTGGAGAATCCCACACTCCTCTTTTCCATAAAACAACAGTTCATGGTGACCTTTCCTCAAAATTCTTTCGTTTCGTTTGCACGCAAAAATAACAGTATATCAGTACAGAATGATGTGAGGGTGAGTTTTCATTTTTAGATTAACTAGTAATTGAACTGTAAATCTGCAGCCGGTCTCTTCAACAGTCTGTCCATTCGGTCCACATTAGTGGTATTAATGGCCTAGTCACAAGACACTGATTAATAATTTTCCTGGTCCTGTCCTTTCCATGCTCGTCACTCTTGTCCGAATCCCTCGGTTTCCTCGATAGCAAACAGAAGTTTTTCTCGTAGCTGCTCCATGTTCTTATAGGGTGGCAGATCCAGACGGTTAAAGCTGAAAATGGAGGGACAAATAAGTCACAAAACAGTTCTATAAAAACTATTTTCTATTATTTTTCAGATTTAGGTTTGTGTCTCACCAAGTGTGACTTCTAGGCAGCCACGTTTCCTTCCCCACTTTGTCTATGCAAAATTTTTGTGGCCCGTTACTTCCTAGACAATGGGGCGATAAAATGATAAACTTTCAGAAATATTTACAATTTGAATATGTACAATGTGGACAGACTTCAGGTCAAAGCTGAATGGTGGAAAGACTTGATAAAAAAAAAAAATGTTTGTTTTTTTCCTTTAGTTGAATAACTTGCTGTACTTCTGCTGCCGTAACGTGCTTTTGGGATTATTGTAAATACAAATTTCCTAGTTAAAAATTTGACATGAACACCTTTCTCGAATCGTATTTCCCACTGGGAGGCTGTGGGATCATTTTGAGTTGGACGGGCCATGAGTGTTAAACATGGCGGAGGGAGAGCGACTGCTGCTGTGACTGCTATTCTTCATTCGTTTGTTCTTGTTGTTCAAGTAGTGCATATTTAATTATAACATGACTCTCAGGGTAATAGGTGGACAGTACGGTGGCCCACCTGTGAAACTCAGTAAGCTCCAAAGACTGATCCACTCATATTGGACATGGTTTTTTATCATTTACAAGCATATTTTTCTCTACACAAGATCAATATTTAACTGAAATATTTCAGATCCGTCACACTATTAACTAAAGTCATTAAAGTTTCATAAGCACTTACAGACTGTTCCTCTAAACTACTCCAGTTCCTAATGTTACCTGAAATTAAATAGACGACAGATCAGCAGCCAAAAGCCTCTTAATATTTTAATATAATTGTCATGAACACAGCAAAACAGTGTGATTAAAATGTGATTTTATACACAGTGAAAAAAGCCTGTATTTGACCGAAATGCCAGAACTGTCAGCATGCCATCTAAAGCATGGTAAATGTTTATATGGATGTCATTGAATGGAATGTCATTTTGGCTTTAATAAGATTTTCCCAATAAATATGCAAAAATAAACCTGGTGTCCTTGACCATGATTGGTGTCCATGATTCCTGTTCTTTCCAACAACAAAGCGCTTGAATGCAACGAAGCTCAAAATCACAACTTTTTTGATAGCGTGCGAAGGTAGCATTAGCTCATGATACTTCACTAACATTCTCCAAAGGTTCCGCACATCCCTTTAGTGACTCTTTAAGTTGTTTAAGGCCCTATTTTGTACCATATTCATGGACAGTGCCACCATTTCAAGCTTTTATTTTCGTTTCATTGACATTGTTAAAGGATTAGTTGAATTACTAAAGTATTAGTAATGTCCCGATAATTAATTCACTTCAGAATGAAAATGTCCTGATAATTTACTCTCCCCTACATTGAACAGAAATGAAGGTTTTTGAGGAAAACATTCTCTATATAGTGACTTAAACAAGGTACAGTACAACAGGTTGAAGGTTCAAATGTCAG